TCTAATAATTCTTTTTTCTACCCTCATTTTTGTATAACATTACTCTAAAAATCAAATTACGAACTGATTATTTCTAATTTACTTGACAAAAAATTTGCATTTAAAATTAACTTGAAAAATAAAAAAATAAATTTTGAATTAAAATTTTGAGAACCATAACATAAATTTTGCCAAAAATGAAAACACGTATTTATAATTCAATGTCAATTTTTATTGAATCACCAAGTTGTGTTTGAAATAAAAATGAAAATAATAATAAGTAAAATTCGCATTGAAAAAAATATCATTAAAAACCAGACAATTGATTTGTATTGTTTTTTAACTGTTTTTTATTTTAAACTGTTGTGACGAACGGCCTTGTTCGTCTTAAAATGTTTGTTTCTATGATATTTATGACTTTTATATTTTAATTGTTGAAAAAAACAAAAAACTTATTATTAGTAATGTGTTGTATAATTTAATACAGTTGTGTCTTTTATCACATCGTTTGTTTATTGTTTTATTGTCGTTTATCTTATGTTTGTTTGAAAGATAGAATTTTATTAAATTTTAGTTACAAAATGGATCACTAATCAAAAAACAAACATGAAAAATCGGGAAAGATTTACCAAATATTTGGGTGATTTCCCGATTTTTTGTTCAATAATTGAATCTGTATTGGTTTTAAGGGTTTAAAACTGTGTACCGTTGTTGGTTCAACAAATAGGAAAATAAAAAATAAAACAAATAAAAAATAGTAAATAACGGGAAATTGAAACAAAGGGTTTATATAAATTTTGGAAACGGTACAGAGTTTTGAAATACAGTTTATTTTAGGTTGGAATAACGGACTTATCAATAAAATGAACTGAATTATGGCACCAAAATTTCCAAATACTCAGAATAATAAATCTAAAGATAAATTCAACGTACAACTAATTATCAAAAACAACACTGATTTAACAACAGTTCGTACTCCAATCGAATTAATCAATAAACTTGAAATGATAACTACAAGTCTCACTTGAAACAATATAACAACAAAAATTGTAGAAGCAAGCAGAATTCAAATTGATAATACTTTGTTTATATTGTATAATGCATCAGACATGGGTAAAGATAGAAAAACGTTTAAATATAACTGTGTATACAAACAACAATATAAATATGATTATAAATTATAGTAATCTTTGATAATTGTACAAGTGAAAAGATAATTTAATTTGAGTTACATGATGAACATTCACACGCATTCACGATAAAACCAATGAAAATGTTGAGAAATCGAATGTCAGAAATTCATAAGAAATAATGC